GATTAGCCGGTATTCTCCCGGCCCGGGCCTTGTCCAAGTGGTGGCCCGGCCTTGGCTCCCTCTTTAGGGAGTGTCTGAGACCTAAGTCTCCCATGGGAGGAGGCACAAGTACCTCCTCATCTTTGGGACCAACTGTCCCCAGGCCTAGCCACAAGCTAGGCCTCTCTGGTCTGCCATCCCCGCCCCAATGGGGCAAATGGGAATGACAGTCTTATGAGCTAAAGGTTCGGGCTCAGGCACCTACCCTACCCTAGAAGGGTTAGGCATGGTGTCGATCGGGTGAATTATCCTAAAAGGAGTGGAGTATTGTATTTAATGGCTATTTTAAGGCACTCAGCATTCATTGTGTTATTATTATTATTATTATTATTATTATTATTATTATTATTATTATTATTATTATTATTATTATTATTATTATTATTATTATTATTATTGTTATTATTATTATCATTATTATTAACCATACCCCGGCCGGGATTGAACCCGCGGTCAGAGAGTCTCAATCCCGGCCGGGGTATGGTTTGTTTGCAATCGTGTCATTACGATTGCGTGAGTCATTATTATTATTATTATTATTATTATTTGCACATATATGATAATTGTACATGTGTACCTGTGCCTAAATAAACTTACGTAGCTGCAGTTAAGAAAACAAATGATCCACAATACCCTCAAGTGAATTAACACATATTATCAATCTGTTGTTCACTACTGACCCTGTACAATCTGTCACCCACAGAATGCATAATAACAACAATAATAATTAAATTTTCAAGAAAACAACCAAACGTGCCTTGCAAAAAGTGAAGTCCTTTGCTATGCAGCGCTGTCTGTATGTCACGTTATTCTGGTAAAAGCATAATTCATTTATGATGACTGTTTCCTATGTTTGTGCCGTTGCAATGAATTCTAGAATTTTGTCCATGAGCAAGTCTTAAGTGGGGAAATTTTTCAAATGCCTTTTGAAAAAATCATAGCGGGTTTCAGCTCATAACAAGGAAGGTTTAGGGGTCAGCACCCCAGCGGCCCAGTCTGTGATCAGGCCTCCTGGTAGATCAGGGCCTGATCAACCAGGCTGGTTGAACGTAAACAGAGGTACAAACCACAGCCCGACTGGTTTAGGTGCCTGTCCAGCGCCTTCTTGAAGACAGCCAGGGGTCTACTGGTAATCCCCCTTATGTATGCTGGGAGGCACATGAACAGTCTTGGGCCCCTGACACTTAGAGTGTTGTCTCGTAGTGTACTCGTGGTGCCCCTGCTTTTCATTGGGGGATGTTGCATCGCTCACCGAGTCTTTTTGCTTTCGTAGGGAGTGATTTTCATGTGCAAATTTAGTACTAATCCCCCTAGGATTTTCCAAGTGTATATTATAATGTATCTTTCTCGCCTGCGTTACAATGAATACAAGTCAAAGAACTTCAAGCCTTCCCAGTAATTTAGGTGTTTTATTGTACTTATGTGTGCCGTGACCGTTCTCTGTACATTCTCTAGGTCAGCAATTTCACCTTCCTTGAAAGGGGCAGTTAGTGTACAGCAATATTCCAGCCTAGAGAGAACAAGAGATTTGAAGAGAATTATCACGGACTTGACATCCCTAGTTGTAAAGGTTTTCATTAATCTATCCTATCATTTTTCTAGCAGATGTGGTTGATATATTGTTGTGATCTTTGAAAGTGAGATCCTCTGACATTGTCACTCCCAGGTCCTTCGTATTATTTTTTTGCTCTATTATGTGGTTGGAATTTGTTTTACTCAAGTTTCCCACAGGAAGGTAATTGAAATTTCTCATCATTGAACTTCGTATTGTTTTCAGCGGCCCACTTAAATATTTGGCTGATGTCCTCTTGGGATCTTGCAGTGTTTTCTATGGAGGACATTGTCATGCAAGCTAGGGTGTCATCCGCAAAGGAAAACACAGTGCTGTGGCTGACATCTTGGTCTATGTCAGATATGAGAATGAGGAAGTGGATGGAGCGAGTACTGTGCCTTGTGGAACAGAGCTTTCATTGTAGCTGCCTCAGAATTTACTCTCTATACTATTACTCTCTGTATTCTATTTGTTAGGAAGTTATAGATCCATCTACCAACTTTTCCTGTTATTCCTTTATCAGGCATTTTGTGCGCTATTACACCGTGGTCGCACTTGTCGAAGGCATTCGCAAAGTTTGTGTATACTACAACTGCATTTTGTTCTCTAGAGCATCCAAGACCTTATCATAGTGATACAGTAGTTGGGACAGGCATGAGCGGCCGACCCTAAACCCATGTTTCCCTGGGTTGTGTAACTGATGGGTATCTAGATGGGTGGCGATCTTGCTACTTAGAACCTTTCAGAGATTTTTATATGGGATATTAGCGCTATTGGTCTGTAGTACTTTGCTATTGCTTTACTGCCCCTTTGTGGAGTGGGGCTATGTCTGTTGTTTTAAGTGGCTGTGGTATGACTCCCGTGTCCATGCTCCCTCTCCACAGGACGCTAAAAGCACATGACAGTTGTTTCTTGCAGTTCTAATGAACATGAAGTTCCATGAATCTGGGCCTTGGGCAGAGTGCATGGGCATGTCATTTATTGCCTTTTCGAAGTCATGCATTTTAGGATAATTTCACAGATGTTTGAAATGATCAAATTCTGAGTCTCGGTCATAAAAAATTCATTTAGGATGTTGACTCTTAGTCTGGTTAGCGTTTCACTGAACACCAAGTCATACTTTGCCTTTAGTATCTCACTCATTTCCTTGTTGTCATCTCTGTAAGTCCCATCTCGTCCTAAGGTGGGGTCCAGTACTGGATGTTGGCATAAGAAAAGAAATATTTTGGGTTTCTTTCAATTTCGTTTATGTCTTTTAGCTCTTTCTGAGTTTCTTGTCTCCTGTATGATTCCTTAAGCTTAAGTTCGATATTTGCTATTTCTTTGCAGAGTGCCTTTGTATTTCAGATATACTGGCCCCTATCAGCAGCTCTGTGATTCTTCACCTTTGCCTGCATAGGGTTCGTCTCTCTCTTTCTAGTTTGCAGCCTCTCTTCCTTTTTGTTAATTAAAGGAATGTGCCTTGAGCATACCTCAAGTGCCATAGTTATTTTTTCTAGGCAGAGGTATGTGATAACTGGATGAAGAAATGCAAACCAATTTGTTAGATAAAATCTGAAGTCTGTAAATAGATGGAGCAAGACAGTGGCACTTCAGAGAGGGTTGGAGGGAGGGTCTGAAGAACTGCAATGTTTATTACTATGGCTGTGTCTTCTTAAACAAGAGCTAAACCTGGCCGTAAATACAATAGGTACCTGGCTGTTAGCTGATTCTTGTGGGTCACATCCTCGGGAAAGGACCATTATGGAATCAAGCCAAATTACTTGGTCTTTTCAGGTTATCATGAGTTATTGAATCTCCAGGTTTAAGATAAGATAAAATAAGAATTTGTTCAGATTTTTAACCCTGGAGGGTTTGCCACCCAGGATAACCCAAGAATATCAGTGCGTCATCAAGGATTGTCTGTCTGATTTCATTGGGGGCCTTCCATCTTGTCCTCCAGGATGCGACCCACACCAGCCAACTAACACTCAAGTACCTACTTGCTTGCTAGGTGAACGGGGACAGCAGGTATAGGTAAACACGCCCAATGTTTACACCCGGCCAGGATTGAACCACGGACACTGTGCTTGAGGCGAGAGCGTTATCTACCAATAATATTTATATTATTATCTTTATTTCTACAAGTACATGTACAAGGTATACAGTCTTAGCTGACATCAATAACATTACTACTACATAGAAAGCCGCTTGTTATGCTGAGCATTTCGGTAAATTAGGTCAAATCTGTTCCACACAAAATTAGTTTAATTTTGTCCCCACACCAGTCGACTAACGCCCAGGTACCTATTTTACTGATGGGTGAACAGGGACAACAAGTGTCTTGTGGAAACACGTCCAATATTTCCACCCTTGCCGGGAAGGGAAGCACGCACCCTCAGCGTGTGAAGGGAGACTTGTCTACCTTACCGTGGGTCACCAGGCCACAATACAATTTTATTTCTTGATGCGGTACAATTAATGTCGTTAATATACAATAAAACATTGGAAGACACACGAGAAAACCACTAGTATGTAATGCACTTCGGGCAAACTAATCCTAATGCTTAATGTTACTTGAGATTTAGACATAGACTATTAAGTAGGATTTCTTAGGCAGTTACCTACAATTATATGTCTAATAAGAGTATTTTTTTTGCATTACACAGAGAGGAATATCAGTGAAAATGTGATGGTGATAATAGAATAAATTTTAAATTCATTATAAATATTTATGAAGGACAAATTCATATTAATAAAAACGCCCCATGGAAGTTCCTTGAGGCTGGTGAGAGGCTTTTGATCTAAGGAACTGGAATTATCTCCCCTTCCATAGAGTGAACCTGAAGGCCTCCCATTCCGTGGAATGATCCTGATTGTTTCCCATTACTTCAGTCACTGTATGACCCCTATGAGTTTAGCGCTTCCCCACATGAATATAATAATAATAATAATAATAATAATAATAATAATAATAATAATAATAATAATAATAATAATAATAATAATAATAATAACATAAGGGTTACACAGAATTTAAAAACAAATCCATTTGAGTAATCTATCTACATTGAGATTTACAATTATTAATCATCGACACCATGCCTAACCCTTCTAGGGTAGGGTAGGTGCCTGAGCCCGAGCTTTTAGCTCATAAGACTGTCATTCCCATTAGCCCCCTTGGGGCGGGGATGGCAGACCAGAGAGGCCTAGCTTGTGGCTAGGCCTGGGGACAGTTGGTCCCAAAGATGAGGAGGTACTTGTGCCTCCTCCCATGGGAGACTTAGGTCTCAGACACTCCCTAAAGAGGGAGCCAAGGCCGGGCCACCACTTGGAAAAGCCCCGGGCCGGGAGAATACCGACGAATCTTTAATAATAATAATAATAACAATTACTATTTATTGTACATAAAATTGATATTGTACTGTACCTTAAATATTAGTGACCCCAGAAGAGAACTTATACGGCAGGGAAAAACTTACTGGACATTAAGGTCTATGTTTCTCTTATAACAAGTATTGCACTCACTGCACTATGGGAAAAATACTGGTTTACAAGCATTACTTTCAAAACTGGAGTCAGAACAAGTAATGAGGGAGACTTGTGCACACTCACTTCCCCCCTCAAGATGCCAGTCTTCACTAGTAGCATCATACAAAAATGCATTTTGTCTGTTTTTTTTTGTGTGTATTTCTTAATCTACCTATCCAGCCACATGACAGGACAACCTGGTTTATGGGATAACGTTGGATAATAAGGATATCAAGTGCCCGAGCAGGGCAGTAGTTACTTACCTCAGATTGTCTAACACGTCAAGCTGGTTTATCTACTCAAGGTCATCCTTGGTATCTGGGGTCCAACACTTTTATCAAGTTCTCTTCATTATCTCTATGTTCATAAGGCGAAATATTGTATAAATGGGGATGTGTAGCTGTTATACTCTATGGAAGGTGATATATTCATGGGAACATTAGAGCGCCTGAACAGTGAGAGTAAGGATGAGAATTAGGGTTTTGATCCGAGGAAGTGGATGTTAGCTCCAATTCCTTGGAGCAAGATCCCAAGACATTAGCTTACATTATACAATGCATATAGCTTATATGCATTATATGATTTGGTTGTTGATAAAAGGATTATAAAAGACATGAATGCTAGTGAGGGAAGCAAGTGTGCGATTAAACAGAAATGAATAACAAAAAGGCACAATACCGTGACTGGAACAATACACAAATAACCCGCACATAAAAGAGAGAAGCTTACGACGACGTTTCGGTCCGACTTGGACCATTGACAAAGTCACACTAACAGAGGTGGAGCAGGACGGCTATATATAGGCAGGAAGAGGTGGTAGTAGTAGTAGTAGTAGTAGTAGTAGTACAAGAATTGTATATAATACCGACAGGATGAAATTAATTTCATCCTGTCGGTATTATATACAATTCTTGTACTACTACTACTACTACTACTACTACTACCACCTCTTCCTGCCTATATATAGCCGTCCTGCTCCACCTCTGTTAGTGTGACTTTGTCAATGGTCTAAGTCGGACCGAAACGTCGTCGTAAGCTTCTCTCTTTTATGTGCGGGTTATTTGTGTATAAACAGAAATGAATTCCATATGAAGTGGGAATTGTCTGAGTGGTTTTTTTTCGTCGATGACAAAGTGCTTTAGAAGTTGTGGCAGTTATGTAGTTTAGGAAGATGCATAAAACAAGTTAGTTGAAAGTGAACTTAAAATAAGAAGTCTTAAGCAGTAAAAGAGATTGTATGTCAAATTGGAGGGAAAGCATGTGGAAGTGAATAGGTATGTAGGTACTGTATTTGGGGTGGATGTGTCAGTAGATCTCCATGGGGAAGTGGAACAGAATTCTTCCTCCGTAAGCCATGCGTGTCGTAAGAGGCGACTAAAATGCTGTGAGCAAGGGGCGCACCACTTGAAGGGTGGCACCACTTGAAGGAGGGCACCACTTGAAGGAGGGCGCTACTTGAAGGAGGACGCCACTTGAAGGGTGGCGCCACTTGAAGGAGGGTGCCACTTGAAGGGGGGCGCCACTTGAAGGAGGGCGCCACTTGAAGGAGGGTGCCACTTGAAGGAGGGCGCCACTTGAAGGGTGGCGCCACTTGAAGGAGGGCGCCACTTGAAGGAGGGCACCACTTGAAGGAGGGCGCCACTTGAAGGAGCGTGCCACTTGAAGGAGGACGCCACTTGAATGGTGGCGCCACTTGAAGGGTGGCGCCACTTGAAGGGTGGCGCCACTTGAAGGATGGCGCCACTTGAAGGAGGACGCCACTTGAAAGAGGGCGTCACTTGAAGGAGGGCGCCACTTGAAGGGGGGCGCCACTTGAAGGAGGGCGCCACTTGAAGGAGGGTGCCACTTGAAGGAGGGCGCCACTTGAAGGATGGCGCCACTTGAAGGAGGGCGCCACTTGAAGGAGGGCGCCACTTGAAGGAGCACGCCACTTGAAGGAGGACGCCACTTGAAGGAGGGCGCCACTTGAAGGAGGGCGCCACTTGAAGGAGGGCGCCACTTGAAGGGGGGCGCCACTTGAAGGGTGGCGCCATTTGAAGGAGGACGCCACTTGAAGGAGGGCGCCACTTGAAGGAGGGCGCCACTTGAAGGAGGGCGCCACTTGAAGGGTGGCGCCATTTGAAGGAGGACGCCACTTGAAGGAGGGCGCCACTTGAAGGAGGGCGCCACTTGAAGGAGGGCGCCACTTGAAGGTGGGCGCCACTTGAAGGGGGGCGCCACTTGAAGGGTGGCGCCATTTGAAGGAGGACTCCACTTGAAGGAGGGCGCCACTTGAAGGGGGGCGCCACTTGAAGGGGGTGCCACTTGAAGGGGGGCGCCACTTGATGGGAGGCACCACTTAGTAGTTTCTATTAAAGTCAGACATCATGGATGTGAAGCACTAGGATGTCTAGATTATTAAATTACTTATATAAATTATTAGGTAAAAATACAGTGCTAGGAGGAGTAGTACCTCACTGTACTACTACTACTCTACTACTACTTGGGAGGTAGTCCAGAATTTTATGCAAAATCTGTGAAATTTAATGTTCTTATTATAGGTGCCATTTCCTTATTTTGAACATTATGTAAGAAGACCATGAAACATTTCTTTACTAAGAAGAAGGAAAGTGGAGCTGAAGGACGGAAGAGACGATAGTTGGAGGAGGAGAAAGCCAAGAAGTCGAATAAGTTCTTCATATCCTCTGAAAAGCCTAGATCAAGTTATTTGATATGTTCCAAGGAGTCACCTGCACCTGCTACAAGTTTGTTAGAATCCGAATGTGTCACAAGCCGACGATGAAGTCGAGCCAGATAAATCCGAGTATGACGAGATTAAAAGTGAAGCTGCCAGAGAGAACGTGGACATGACAAGATGGGAAGACGATGGTGGTGGTGGTGGTGATATTGAGATTACTGACTAAATTTTTGCCTTGTCAAGATCGAACCCGTCAACGCTGAACCTAGTGAACTTAATGGTGTAGAAGAACCTCGAACTGTCATGCAAAAAGTGATTGAACAATATTGTATTGGACTTCTGAATTTCAGTAAGGATACTGGAAAAAGCAATTCTGCCTGACGCGTTGAGGACAGAAAAAATAAAGCTGTGTTTAGAGTATTTCCCGAACAGTGAGGGGACTTTCCTTCCAACAAATAACTGCTCAGTGAACAAATCTTATTTCAAAAGGAAACTGGGAAATGGTTGTGGTGAGGAAGTGACTCTGTCATGGTTGGTGTAATTACCTTCTAAAAAGTCAGCATTTGGTATCTGTTGTCTTCTCTATTCCCGGTCAGACCAACAATCCTCACTCGATCAGGAAAGTGGATTCAACCAGTGGAAAACACCTGAATAGATTAATATTAATGAAAATGCAAAGAATCACCGGGAGTGCTTCACACAGTGGAGTGATACAGAAAGAAATTTAGCTGAAAACCGGAGTTATTGACGCAGAACTTCAGTCACAGATTGAGAAGGAAAAGCAAAATGACATGATATCTTGATGAAAATCCTTAACTGCATAAAATTCCTTGGGACTCAGGACCTGGTTGCTAAGACACAGGGAGTAACTTCAGCTGGACGATGACTCCAATGTGTGAAATTTCCTTGGCTTACTGAAACTACTGGCCATCTTTGACCATGTCATGAAAGAACATCTCACTCGTGTTGAAATTAATCCTGGATCCAGGTCTTATTTTTCATCGGGTGACCAGAACGAATTCATCCGCATGATGGCATCCACTCTTCGCCAGAGTTTACTGAGAAGCATTTATAAAGCCAAGTACTATGGTCTCATGTTCAACTCGCTTCCTGATCACGCACACTGTGAGGTACGTGGAAGTTGATTTTATGAGGAAAACAGTCCCTGTTAGAGTCCTTCCTTGATTTTATCCAGATAGCCAGAAAGATGCTTAGAACTTGGTTGAAGACATCTTGAAATATCTAGAAAAGGACGAAATGGAGCTACATGTTGCCGGTCACAGTGCCATGACAATGCTGCTGTGATGGCTGGACACAGAAGTGGTGTTCATCAAAGAATAAGTGAGAAAAACAACCTGGCAGTGTTTGTGGATGTACATGCAGCCAAGCAGGATACAGTAATGGTCACGTTTTTTTGGAATCATTGAGACTCTCTACGTGTTCTTCTCTCGTTCAATACAGTGCTGGAAAAAAAATGCTGTGCTTGTGGTTGTTAAGTCGGAATTCGAAACCAGGTGGAGTTTAAGGACAAGAGTAGTGAAGCTCGTCAACAAGTACCTTGAGGAGATCCAGGACATGATAGACAGTGAAAATATGACCAGTGAAACAGGATGTGAGGGAAGCATGCTGAGTTACGATTTTCTGATTTTGCTAGGATTTTGGAACAAAGTACTCATTCACACTGACTGTATTCAGGAGAGGCTACAGGATCCTAGGATGAACTTCCACGATGCTGCCCAGGGTTTGAAAGCCCTATGAGATCATTTTGATGATGAAAAAGAAGTGTTGGTCAGTGAGTCATTCGAAAATGGACTTGGTGTCTGTCGTTTGTTTCGTCAGAGACGAAAGAAACGAATAGTTGACGAGAACTCGAGAGACAGTCGGTTAACAGCCATGGAGGAAATGTAAATTCATGCAAACACTCAAGCAGAAAGGTTCGTTCATTTGCACGACACTGACGCCAAGTTTAGGTTCCTTCTCGATGTCAAGGGACTGTTACATCGACAGAAACAGCCTAAAGAAGTGCGAAAATTTGGGCCGAATTGTACAACTCTGATGTTGATGAACAGCAGCTATATGAAGAAATTTTGGATTGCAGAATGTTGCTATCATGTTGGGCCAACATAATGAAAATATCAAGACCAGAATAGCTTGAATTTATTGTTCAGCACTGAGATGATAGCGTCTTCACCAGTCTTCACATTGCTATTCAGATAATGTTAATCATCGCAGTTTCCAACGCCAGCTGTGAGAGATCATCATAATACTATCGTATTTGAGCCTCCATGAGTGAAGACAGAGTCTGTGATCTTGTTCTGCTGAGTGTAGAAAGAGAAGAAACTGAAAAAATGAATTTGAGCACATCATAGACCAATTTGCATCAAGGAAGGTGCAGTTGTAATTTTTATGTAGTGCCATATTTTTTCAATTAAATGATTAACAAGATTGACTTGTATTTTTGACAGGATTTTATACTACTACTACTACTACTACTACTA